AGGATTTTAGGGGGCACTGATGCTCTAAGAAATATTAGGTGGATTTTTTTCTTAAAATTCTGGTGGCATGGAACTTGAACAAAAAATTGAAATCCATATGGTAGCAGCATTCAGTTGTGGCTACATTTAGGAATGGAGGAACAAGGTAGTGAGTAGAGCTGTTACAAAAGGAAGGAGAAGATTCTGCCTTCAAAATTACAGAATTCCTGGTGGAAGCTTCAGCTGTGCTGCTGTGCTGGGGTAACAGGAGAACACAGAGGGACAGAAATCTGTTTACCACTTTTCCTATGGTTTGTTTCCTGGAAGGAGGAATTATAAATGTGCCTTTGAGGGCCATACAAGGTGCAGAGAAAGCTTCTCACATTACTCCTCCTTTGCATGGGCAGATGTCTTCTGCTCCTCACTGACTTTCTCTGGCTCGGAGCCTTCTGGCTGAGGGGACAGGCAGATGGTTGCCTTGAAGGCTCAGTGGCTCATCAAACATCAGGCAGAGAAGATACAAGGCCATTGGCCAGTAATCTCCCACCCACAATCTAAACCCTTAATTCCCAGTCCAAAAGAAAGTCGTTTCAAACCGAACTCATAAAAGAAGGGCTTAAAAATATTAAGCTTTTATGACTGTTCCAGTGAATCCAGCACCCAGGGCTCCAGCTCCATGTGAAATACCCCCAAAGAAAATTCCTCTTACACTGGAATCCAAGAAATAATAATACAGATCAGAATTCAGTGTTTCACATCCAATGAACTCACTGGGTTGTAGGAATTTGAGCTGGTCTGTCACTTTGGAGCCAGTGATGTGCTTAACAGATGCCTGTTTGGGTTCAGATGAAGTGCTGCAGAAGCATATGATGCCAGAAGAAGGATTAAAAAGTCACCAGGCTGTTACACAGAAGAAGTAATTACTTGTAAGCCTTCACTTTTGTTCTTGGCTAATACTCACTTTGTTTGATGGTTCTTAACCTTTTCCAAGCAGCACTTCATCCCTGGGTGAGTTGTAACTCCTGTGTGATAATGTAGAGGGGTAAAGCACTGCCTACTTGTAAGGCAGCTCTGCTGTAGTCAGAGTTAGTTTTCAGCACAGAAATGGTGTTTCTGCATTTCCTTGCTCACCCTGCCCATATTGATTTCCATTTGAGTTTGTAAAAGCCCTCATGAAATGGAAGTTTCACTACTTGGACCCAGTTAGAAGGCCAACAACACCTTTAAGGATCAGGACTCTGGTTTTTTCAGGGTTTTTACACCTTTGATTTAACCTGAGGAAGTTCAGCTTCCATGGTGGAAGTTTTATTTGTAAAAATATGCTTATAGCAATTCTGTCACAGAGACCCAGTTCCATTTTTACCATGCCCACATTAGAGGCTGGACTGGCATATGAATATTGAATATTACTCCCAGAGCTGATACTGTTGCTGAGAGACACCACTTAGGTTAAAACAAGGTGTAAACTTGAACCTCTGCAAATGGGTTTCAGTGGTTGAGCAGAAAAAAAGTTAAAAATGAAAAAATCTGTTCCAGAGCACCTGAAAGCACTGATAGGCATGGCTGCTTTATTTGAAAGTATTTTTCAGGTACACAAAATAAATTTATGCTTAATGGTTATTTAAATAATAACTTGTGATTTGAAATTCAAAAAAAAAAACCTTGGCATCTCGTTTAAAATAGATTCTCTGATAAATTAGAGAACTTTGAAACTGAGCTGATCAAGCATACAAAAATGTTCTCTGGAAACATCAGTAATTAATTATACCAGGACATGAAGGTTATTGGGTAGAGAAGAGAATAGAAAAAAAAATCCCTTAAATGATGGCCTGTAGTTGCTGATGCGCATGGTTGGGATTCTAAAAATAAAATGGACAATTTTAACTACCAATTTTATCAGTAAAAGGCTTAAAGTGCTTAAATAAATTGTCTGAAGTACAGCCATCACTGTAGAAGTACAGGAATCCATTATGTGTGGTATGAAAGTGGGTGGAAATCTTTAGACTACAATAAAAAAAGAGAAGCCTTTTTTTTTTTCTTTTTGCTGTCAGTCTGACCATGTGGGTTTTGCTGTTTGCATTCAGCCTGTTAAAGCAGAAGTTGCATGACTTTTTCTTAATATTGGGCCGAGTCCTACAGACCCTCATCCCTGTGATAAACCCAGGATAAATGGAGTGCCTGCAAAAATGAGCCCACTGTCTGTCTGAGCATAATGTGCTGCAGCAAAAGTCCTGGGAATTGCAGAAAAACAACTGTTTGGTTTCAGGCAGAGATCCTGACCAACAGCTCTTTGAAATCACAGGACTCGTCTCTGCAGCCTGCTGAGTTTATTGCTGGTTTTGTGGCTCTGTTGAAACCAGAAGTATTCCCTCAGTATCAATGGGGTTATATCCAGAGTATCTCTGCTCGTGGAAACACTTCAGCAAACTGTACCTGTGGGCTGAAGTCAGTCCATGCTTACCTTCCCCAAAGGCCTTATGTCCTTCCCTTAAGTGGAGCTTGCTGCCCTCTAATATTACAGAGCTCTTGGCCTGAGACACCTAATAAAGAAATTCTGATGAGTCACTGAGTCAAATTCAGTAGCCAGACTGACTGCTAAGAAGCTGAATTCCTGTCTAGCAAACCAGGGGTTTTTTAAAGAGTGGTGGTGTCTGCCATGCAAAAATGTCAATGATTGCCCTTGGCAAAGGGCTGCAGGAAGGTGGCAAATCCCAGCAGGCTCATGCAGGGCAAGTAAAGGGGTTTAGAGAGGGAACTCCTGTAGTTCTAATCCAGGATCTTGTTCTGCTTCTGGATCAAAACATGATGTAGGTTTTCCTGTTTCCTTGAAAGGTCCATGGTCCAAAGTGGATCTTCTTCTCATTCCTTACTAAAGGGTTATAGCACTTTGGAATGGAACCCTAACAGATTAATATTTGATTCAGGTAAGGGGAAATCAATCAGCTCAGGAGGTGGTATTGGTAAATTCTTTTTCAGCAGAATCAAAATGTGTGCCAGAGGTTACAGACTTGCAGGGTTGTAGCAGTGTGCTAAACTGATGTTATATTTTAAATGTGATTCTGCTTGACAGAGAGGGTGTTGTGCTGGTAATTCACTACTTCTTTTTCTATTTCTACCTTTCTTTTTATTTTTTTTTTCCAAACTTTAGTCCAGTCGTGGCAGTTTGCTCATTTATGAGAACTAATCCTACCAGCCTGTAGTGGTGCATGAATTAAACATGAGTGAACACATCTTAATTCCTTATTTCAAATTTATGGCTGCTGTCCTTTGAGAGCTCTGCTTTCCCCCTCCTCCGTGTTTGTCTCTTCCCTTTTTTTTCCTAATTACCTGACACCTGCCTTGCAAAGCTCTTCCCTTTCCCTGCACCAAGCAGTGCCAGCACACTGGCATGTGCACACTCCACAGGATTGCAGTGGAGTTGTCTGTCAGCAGCAGTCATTTGGTGTCATGACAGATATTGATTGTTTATTTCTTCCTTGAAAACATTTAATTAAATTTGACCGTGTAATTAGCCTGCCAGCAGCCAGACATGCCAGGACAACAAATATGATCTGCAGAACTCCTGAGCTGCAGCCCTTTGTGAGGAAGCTGGTGAGAGTGTGTCTCTGTAGGGTGTTTTGGAGGTCTTCAGGTGTTCCTGAGTTTCAGGATGAATCTGTGCATTGTGTTGCCCCTGCCTTTCTTCTTTAAAGAGCTGAACTTCCACAGAACCTTAAATCCTGATTCTGATGGGATTCCCCATTGGAAGTGACATGTCTGAAGGCAAACTCTGTTTTTAAACACTCAAGACAGTCTAGCACTGGATTCATCATTTACCTTCTGTACCTATAGCTAATCCCTTCAGTATGAGTTTAGTTGTGAATAGTATGACATAATCAACATGTATTTTAACTCCACTGTTATCTACCCTAATTTAGATAATAAATTTTACCTTTCAACAATAACTGTCCTTAACCTTTTTAGCAGGAAAATAACATTCAGGTCAAAAGAGATCTGATATTCAGCCAAAACTTGAAATTGGCCAGTATGTTCTAATTTCTCTCTGTGTGCATCTTATATATTAGCACTTGTTGAAATATTTCTAGCCTGTGGTGTGCACCTGCATTGAAATAACTTAGAATGCTGAGGTAGTGTTGATATTAAATTATAGAGGTGTAGATAGACCACAGTGCCAGAAACAGTAATACGAGAGCAAGGTTTCTTCTGTGAAATGGTGGGGGGGAGGTCAGTCCTTAGAAAAGAAGTTTCTGGCTTTGCCCATGGAACAGAAACTCTCTTGGATCTCCTGGCCAGTGTTCCTGCAGGGATGGTGATCTGCAGTCCTTGGGGGCTGCACTGACTTACCCAACACCTCATGAACTCTGTCACTGAGCAGAAAGACAGGAGGGAAGTTTCTAAGTGGGTGGAAAGAAGGACCAGAAGGGAGTGGGGAAGGTGAGCATGTGGGTGTTTTGTTTTTTCAAAGACACCCTGTTTACTTGTGGAATTGCTTTGGGAAGGCTTTGACTTTGATTTGTCCTTAAGAGATTGGGTGTGTGCAAACTTACACAAGTTTGCTTGAAGTTCTGTTGGGGAGGTGAGACACCACATAGGAGTGACTAGTACCGTATTTATTTCTCATCCAGGTGATAGTCAAAATATTCAATGAGTATTTTATAGACCTACTGGGTATTAGCAAAGCACTGCTGTGGTTCAGTCCAGCCATGTGAAAAGGCTGTTGGGACAAGCATTGCTTCTGCTTGTGAACCCTCCTCTGGGAGTATGAGCTGCAGACAACCCTTAGTACATCATCCATGTGACAAAACATTTATCACAGATGCTCTAAAACCTGCATTATATTTTCTTTAGTGAATGTAATGCAAAAAAAGAATTAGCTACATCTAAACACGTAGCTAACCTGTAAATCCTTGCATGAAATAATGCTTGTCCCTAACTTACCAGGTGGCTCCACTGAAGTTTGTGCTAAATGACCCTTTGAACCTCTAAGCAGATTTGATCTAAGTCACCTTTTCTTTTATTAGTGACAGAGTGTCGAGGGGTCTTGGACAACAATCAGAGATTTTCCTCATTGCCAACGTACCTCCCTGTGAGCTATCGGATCTCCAACACCGAGACGTCTTTCTTTCTCAAGGAAGCCAACCAGGACTTCATGAGAAATTCCAGTTTGCAATCCAGGGTGGAATCGTTCTTCCCCTACAAAGCCAAGAGGCCGCCTGTATTAAACGCCAGCTACGGCCCTTTCTCCGTGGAACAAGCCGTGCCCCAGGACCTCATGTTAACTTCTAGCTTTTTCGGATCCGCCAACAAGTTCACTTACAACTGGAAACTTCAGGCCTACATCATGAGCAACAAGATTTACCCCAGCAAGCCCAAGGTGCAGGTGCTGTTCTACATCGTGGGCAGGGACTGGGATGACTACAGCACCACGGAGCGCCTGCCCTGCCTGCGGGTGTTCGCCTTCCGAGAGACGCGGGAGGTGCGAGGCAGCTGCAGGCTCAAAGGGGACCTGGGGCTCTGTGTGGCAGAGCTGGAGCTCCTGCCCAGCTGGTTCAACCCCCCCACGGTTGTCACGGGCCGTAAAAAGCCACCGGATCAGTTGGAAGGGAGCCCCGTGGAGCTTTACTACACCATCCAAGCGGGAGATGAGAAGGGAGAGTGCACCCCCGAGGATATAAGGAAGGGAAATGCCATCCGGCCGGGGAAGGATGGCATGGATGAAACCGTGTCCCACCTGCAGAGGATTGGATCTGTCAGCCTCTATCGAGGCCAGGAGACCTCCCAGCTAACAGAGCTAAGGCTGGATAGTAACATTGTTGTCTGGTTGCCCTCAAAGCCGGTCAAACAAGGAGAGGTTGTGAACGTTTATGTGACGATTGCCAACAATTCCACGGTGGATCAGTTCATACTCAGGTACAGTAAGTTGTTTCTCTGTGTTTCTAACCTGGTGGCACACAAAGGTGATGGGGACACGTGATGAATCTTAACTACTTTGAAGTTTGAAGGTTGCTCCACGTCACTGAAATATATTATTTTCTTCTTTGCATGGATTTTTTTTTGATGGATTGACAGCCTCCATCACCAGGAGGCTTTTAACGTGTCCACTGTGCCATTTATCACAGGCCCACAGTGTGTACAAAAGGTGTACAAAACCCAGCAGTTTGCTGCTTTAGTGGGGCCATTTCTGTGCCGTGGCAGACCCTGAGACATCAGAAAAGTTCTCTGCTTTACAGAGCTTTTAAAATCAGGTTTTTATTGCACGGGCATGGAGTTTAAATGTAGAAAAACTTCAATTACCTGCTTTTCTGTAAGTGCTCTGGCAGAACTCGCCTCTCCCACACACAGAGCGGTTTTGTTATGAGAGCTCTTTAGGGAGGGGTTTAACTGTCTGCTTGCAGTTCAGTAGCGTTTTTCTTTGCCAAAACATCTACCCTTTAAAATAAGGCCCAATGTGTTTGATATTGCTGCTGGCTGAAAGGGACTGTTAGAAGTGAGTGCCATTATTTTGGCCAGGAGTGGGAACACAAGCACTGCCTTACTAGGTCAGATCACTTTCCTTTTATTTTCTTCTTTAGCAGTTTCCCTACTGATCAGATGAAAATCCTTTGAGGATGACAAAGACTGGGAAACTTGTTAATCACTGAAATATTTGATGTATCTTTTTTTTCCTTGTTACCAGGCTTTAAATTCAGTGGAAATTTCCACGGTGATAAGCAACAATTGCTCTTTAAAGCCTCAGGGAATCAAGAGTTTCCCAAAAGATTCTGCACATGAAAGTATTTATTTCTAAGGCTTATATGAATTAGATTAATACATAGTTGACAACTACTGAGGAGAATGGCCTTTAGAACAGGAAGTGTCGCTTGGCAGATAAAAGGCTTTTATTTGAAAAAAGGGGGATTTTAGTCATCCCAGAACCGTTCTGGTGTTTGCAGCTTCGGTTAAATTGGCAAGATAATCTCCCAGACACCTGTTTACTGAGTGAAACCTCTGTGATAGAAGTATTTTCTGACGTTGTCGCTTATCTTTTATTGAAAATCCTTTTTCACAAAGTAGTAGAAACAGAATACTTTTCCACATAACACGCATAGCTGTGGTGAAAAAAGAAATCCAAAGGCAGTGAGCTGGGTATTTGCTGGGTGGATGGGAGAGGGGACCACCCTTTGAAGGTCTGCGCCACACTCTTTATTTTCCTGAACACTGAGTTGAAGAGAAACAAGGTTGTTGAATTCTGGGAATGTATTTCTTTGCTCAGAAATGAATCTTGACTGCCTGGGCAGGGATATCATTTGCATGTTGAGAGGTGTGAGAGGTAGACATGATAATGTGGGACATCAGTAGTTGCCTGTGTGACTTGCTGTTATGGGCAGAGTGGATTGGCTTTGGTTTTGAGAACAGGTGACTGATTGATCTGAAGTGAACAGTCTTAAATTTATTGGTGACTCTGTCCTGAAACACCCTTTTGTTGAAAAGATTTACATTTTTGCTTAACATTGCTTTGAACCAGACACAAGAACACGAGGCTGAAGAGACCAAGATTTTTTTTTTTAAATGGCTTTTTCTTGCTTCCAGTGGGAAGGGGCAGGTGGTCGTTTTTCTTGAGAGGTAATTCAAGGCTGACTGACTTTGAGTGTGCTTCCTCCTCTCCACGACCAAAGGCAAGAAAACAATGTGAGATATTCCAAAGCAATCTTGGTTTTCAAAACTTTGTCTTGCAGGCGTGTTAGACCCTTTTATCTACCCAAGCTGTTGATCTGTGTAGTTGCAAAGACATCAGATGGAAGCTTTGCTCAGGGTGTACAGGAGGCACAAGAAAAGAAGTGGTTTTAACTGGTTTCCTGACACTGCAGCAGGAAGGGACAGCTGATCCCACTGGCAGAAGCTGTGTGGGATCCCATGAGCTGTGTCCTTGTTCTCTTGGCTGGGAAGGTTTCTGTCACGGTTTTGGTGGCAGAGGGGACAGGCTGGCAAAGACCACGTGGAGCTTCCTGGTTCTGTGGTGAAAATCTGTCGTCTTCAAACTTCCAAGGTGTTTGGGAAGAGTATGGAATTTGACCCAGGAATCTATGAAGTGTCTGTGTTTTACAGATATAAAAGCCAAGTGAACAGAGCATCCAGGGAGTAGCAGTGCATATGCTGGCTCTGCCTGGGGGCTCCCTTAACCTTCTCCGTGGCCATTTGCCTGGGTACAGAGAGCTGTGTGCTCTCATCCTCTTGGGTTCCCAGCAGAGCAATCCCTACATCCTGTGACATGCATTCACATTTAATCATCCTACAGAAAAAACACACCACACATTATCCCCGGGCAGAGTGGGTTTGTTTATTTTCTGCTTCTTGTGTATTATTCATTGAGGTATTGCAACATGCAGTGCTGAAGCAAACAGCATGTGATCATTGCTTGGGGGGTGGGAAATAATAGCTACAAATCTTCTCTGGCAAAAGGGAAGTAGACTGGTCTAAATGACCTCATAGCCACAAATCATTGCAATTGAAACCGTGTTCTTAAATGGTGTCTTAATTCAGAATCCTGTTACTGTATCTATACATTTATCAGCCCAGGAACACCAGTAAAGTCAAAGAGAGTGACTAATATGGCAGGGAGTGAAGGGGATTATGCTCAGTAGCACATTAACGCAGTGGGAGCACTGTGTGCATAAACACAGGTCTTCCCTTCTTGCATGGAGTCAGCACAGGGCTGTTGTGAAAGCAGTTCAAACAGTCCTGGAAGGTTATAAGTCCTGTTCACAGCCCTGTTCCTGTCCTGCTGTGTCACCTCTGGTGAGTCTTTACAGGTATTCTTTGTATGCAACACAGAAAATTCAGACAGTTGGTCAGTCCTGTTCCTGAGGGACTTTGATTTCTTCTGATGGAAGGGGTTTCAGGTTTGCCTTATATTATCAATAGTAATGGGAATGGGAAAATCATGATAAAAGAGCTGAAGAAATAGAGAAGGGGGAAGAAAATATCGCCCTGCTTTCCTACCATTGGCAAGGATTTCTGGGCCCTCAAAAGACAGATGAATTATATTTACTGCTGACTGAACAGTAAGGAAAATTACTGTTACCTCTAGCAGTTGGTAAACTATGAACAGAAGTAGCATCAGTACAGGACAAAAAAGAAAAAAAACTAGCAATATTTAAAATGAGGATCATTTAGATCTTCTGTGTCCTTCCCAGAGCTGTTACAAACTGTTACAACTGGCTTGAGCAGAGCTACATGATTGATTGTCTCCTCACCAGTTGCTGTTAAACACACCCTTCTCATCCGAGTCATCATTTTAGTGTATTGTCTGTAAGGATTAGAAAGCAAAATCCTTGGGGCACGACCCTGTTCTTGAATGCTTTTATGAGCTGCCCTCGCACCCAGCAGGCTACAAAAGAGGGAAGGAATCATAACCATGCCGAAAATAAGCTGTTCTTGCGGGGTTAACTTTCAGAAGGTTACACATAACTGCATGTGATTTTTGAGATGCTGGAAGGTGAGGAGGAGGCTGGGCACTGGGGAGTGGGTGAGCTCTGAATGCATTAGGCAGCTTTGAAAAGGTTGCCCTGTGTGCATTGCTGGGTTTGTGCTGTAGCTCTAAATACTTTTCCAGGTACTGCACCATTAAAGGATCCTGCCATCCATTTTTCATGGCGTGATGTGCCACATCTTGATCTGGCAGAGCACTGCACAGCACAGGGCTAAAGCAAGAGGTGTGGGAGTGTTAAGTGTTTTGTGTCACTCTGCTGGGCAGCAGCTAATCTTTAACTCACTCTAGAAGGTGCTGAACCACCAGATAACCCGATTTACGGGAGGTATTGAGAAGGATAAGTAAAGAGAAAGGGGATGAAGTTGTTACATCCTGATTAGAGAAAAGAGGTGTAACACACTGGTAATTTTTTTTTCCCCTTCAGGCTTCTTATTGCAGGTTTTGCAGTGCAGCTCCTTGCACCCGAAGGGATGTAGGTTGTAATCAGCGCTACTGAATTACCTTTGTCCAGCAAACAAATCAACCCAAGACAATGGGTAATTAGTAGTAATAATAAATCTACAGATTGGAAGAAGGATAAAGGATAAATGCAGTGAGGAAAGCTATTAAACCCATGAGCTGAGGCAGCTTTTACATGTCAGTTCCTAATGAGTATTGACAGCAAAGCTGTGTCAGGTGGTGCTGGGAAGAGCTGAAGACCTAGAGGAGGATGCACAGAATAGCCATAGAAAAGGTAGTTATGGTCATAACATCTCTGTACAGCCTGCTGGTAAATCTCAGTATTTCAAAGACTGGATTTGTGGCCATAAATAGCCATTTTAGAGGAATTAGTCATGAAAAAGGGGCATCTCCAGCACTAACTCAGCCTGCTTTGTGTGGAAGACCTGTCTGAGCCTCCCTAGGGAGTGAGTAAACCTCTCAGAGGGGTTTAGCCCTGTCCTCAGCTGTTCTACCTGCTCTATGTAAAAGAACCAGAAGTGGGAACATTTTTGAGCAGTTACTGTTTAATTTTAGACAGTGACATTTTAATCTTGCCTTATGATGAGATAGCTTTTACTGCCCTGAAATTTGCCTGTGCCTAATTGTTGGTTTATCAGTTTTTAGCTCTGCAGTGTGGTGGCATCATGGCAAACACCAGTGACATTGTAATCACCAACTGAGGCTGAAGGGAACCAAAACATACCAGACCTAAACCAAGACTGAGACCACTCTATGTTTTGTGTTAACCCATAATTCAGGATGTATTATCCCAAGTACCCATTTTCCACAGTAGATGAAATGCTGTTTTTCAACTCTTAAATGAAGAGTGTGCTTTTTTACACTGCTTCATATTTAGAACTAACACAGAGTGAAATGAAGAGAGACAGAATAGTTTGGTGCTTTTCTGGGAGTACATGTGTGTCTCCAGATGAGGAGAATTGCAACAAAACATTTTTCATTT